GGGGGGGGGGGGGGAGTCGGGGTGGCCGCCCTCGCTCCTCACCTCCTTGAGCTGCTCCATCTCGCCGCGGATGGCCTCGTAATCCACCTCGAGCTCCTCGAACTGCAGCTTGAGCTGGTGCTTCTCCTCCAGCACCGCCAGCCCGTACTCGGCCGCCTGGATCTTCTCGCGCGTGGTCTCGGCCAGCTCGTGCGACAGCCGCTTCACCTCAGCGCGCAGCCACTCGGGCTGCGCCTCCATCACCAGCCGCGCGTACTCCTCCTCCTCCGACGGCGCCGACATGGTGGCCCGCGGCCGGCTCACGCTGCTCCCAGCGAGGGTCAGGCCGGGCTCCTGTCCGCCGCTGCCGTCGCTGCCGCCGCCCAGCCCGACGGCGCCCGGCCCGCCGCCGCGCAGCCGCAGTGCGCCCCTCGCCGCGCGGGGCACTGTGGGGGCCGTAGTCCCGCCCGCGCCCACTACAAGGCCCGTCGTGCCCCGCGTTGACGGGCTGGGGCGTGATTGGCTTGCGGCCTGCGCTGGAGCGGGCTCCTTCCAGCGCCGCTGCCTCCGTCTCCAACTCCCCGGGTATTGTTGGGGGAGGGGGCCGTCGTCTCGTCCCCGCGCCCACTACAAGACCCGTCGTGCCCCGCACCGCCACACCGCCGTGATTGGCCCTGGCCTAGCGTGTCAGGCCTCCCAGCGCCGTCACTTCCGCCGCGGCCGCCAGGGGTATTGTGGGAGTTGTAGTTCCGCCCTCGTCCGCGCCCGAGCCGGTGCAGGGCGCCGCTGTCCCGCCTACTTGCCGGTGGAGATTGGCTCCCCGCCCTCGGTGGTAGGGAGATATTGAATGTCTTCCCACGTTTACGCCCTCTTTCATTTCTTTCAGCAGTGTTTCGTAATTTTCAGCCTACAAACCTTTGCCTCCTTGATTTAGTCTCTAAGTACTATTTTCTGATGTAAATGGCATCGTTTTCTTAATTTCCTTATCTGCTTGTTCATCGTTACTGTATAGAAATGCACCTGAGTTTTGGTGTGTTGATTCGGTATCCTATCCTGAATTTATTAGGTCAAATAGTTTCTTTAGGTGTTGATGTGGAACCTAGGGTTTTCTCCATAGAAGATCATGTCATCTGTGGACAAAGACAATTTTACTTTTTCCTGTCCAATTTAGATGCCTTTTATTCCTTTTTCTTGTCTAATTGTTATGGCTGGGACTCCCAGTACTATATTGAATACAAGTGCAGACAGCAGGCATCTTTGTCTTCTTCCTGACCCTAGGAAGAAAGCTTTCAGTCTTTCACTATTAAGTATGATGTTCATGTGGGTTTTTCATATATGGCTTTTATCATACTGAGGTAGCTCCCTTCTATTCCTTGTCTGTTGAGTGTTTTTATCATAAAAGGGTGTCAGACTTTGTCACACGGTTTTCTGCATCAATTGAGATGATCATGTGGGTTTTTTTCCCTTCATTCTGTTAATGTGTTTTGCACTGGTTGATTTTCATATGTTGAACCATCCTTGCATCGTGGGAATAAATCCCTTTTGGTCATGGTGTATAATCTTTTAATATGTAGGAGAATTTGGTTGACAAGTATTTTGTTAAGGATTTTTGCATTAATATTCATAAGAAACAAATGGTTGTAAGGAAGGTATTTTAAAAGGTATATGAAAATTACCCAACTACCCTGGTTAGGAAGATGGGGCTAAGTAGAACTAAACGTGATACGGTGTAAAGTGGGGGGAAGAAACAGAAGAGAGGGTCCCTGTGCTCCCAATGCTGGAACTGGGCCTTGCACACTGCCCACAGAACTGGAAGAGAGGTGGAATAACTGTGGTTTGAATGGTGTGGGGAGTTACTTTTCTTTGAACATTTTTAAAAAGGAATGTTAATTCCTTTTTAATTAGGAATTTTAAAATTAATGTTAATTTTAGGTGTGATTAATACATAGGAAGATGCCCTTTGGGCTATAAATGCATCCAAAGTATTTACAGGCAGAGCACAGGATGCGTTGAGTTTGTTTTAATCCAGAAGAAGGGACAATGGGGTTGACGAATGAAGCAGTTGTTGGTGGCAGCTGGAGTGCAGTACGTGCACACGCTGCTCATTATGCTCTAGACTTCTGCATCTATTTTGAAATTCTTTTAATAAAAATTTTCAAATGTTTTAATGTTAAAATGACATTATCTTCATTAAAAAAGTCATTTCCCTGGTGGCTCAGTCGGTTAAGCATCCGACTTTGGCTCAGGTCATGATCTCACTGCTCGTGAGTTCAAGTCCCGCATCAGGCTCTGTGCTGACAGCCCAGAGCCTGGAGCCTGCTTCGGATTCTGTGTCTCCCCCTCTCTCTCTGCCTCTCCCCCACTCTCTCTCTCTCTCTCTCTCTCGCTCTCTCTCTCTCTCAGAAATAAACATTAAAAAAATTAAAAATCATTTCCTGTCTCTGCTCCGATGTGTCAGCCTGCCATCTGTCACTTGACTTCTAGTGGCTACCCATGCTAGGGATAGATGCATGGCCAGTGGATGTGAATTCTGACCTCATGCTTCAACCTGCTTCTTATTTTAAATTGATCCATTGGTAACCATTTATCAGCTGCTTTCATGTGCCTGCCTACAAAATTTATTTTTTAATGTTGTTATGGTTTTTAGGTAATATGCACGTGTTTAGAAGTTCAGTTTAAAAGAATATACAAATACACACCTATCAGAATGGCTATAATAGAAAAAAAAAGTGGCAGCAACAAATGCTGGCAAAGATGTAGGGAAATAATCACTCATACATTGCTTTTGGGAAAGTTGTTTGGCCTTTTCTTATAAAACCAAATGCCTATGCTGTTGCCATAGGATTCAATAATTGCATTCCTGGGAATTTATCTCAAAGAGATAAAACTTGTGTTCACACAAAAATGTGTACACAAATGTTCACAGCAGCTTTCTCTGTAAAAATCCCAAACTGGAAACAACCCAAAATATCTTTCTTTGGGTTAAAGGTTAAAAAAAACCAAAACTGTGGTACATCCATACCGTGAAATACTACTCAGGAATAGAAGGAATGAGCTATGGATATACACAGCAACATGGGTGAATATCCAGAGAAATACACTGAGTGAAATAAGCCAATCCCCAAAGGATGCACAATGTATGATTCCATTTACATGACACACTTGAAACGACAAAATTAAGGAACACATTAGTGGTTGCCAGGGGGTGGGGTTGGGAGGGTGTGTGAGGGAACAAAAGGGCAGTTTGAGGGACCCTTGTGATCATGTAAATGTTCTGTATCTTGCCGCGATGCACAACAGAAATGTACACATGTGGTAGAATTGCACAGAACGCACAAGTCAGTACATGGAAACCTAGTGAGACCTGAATTAGATGGGTGGCTTGTACCAAGCCCAGCTTCCTGTTTGTGTTGTTGCACTTGTACTATAGTTACAAGAAACATAACTGAGAAATATAAACTGAGAAAATATGGTATGGCTTTTATTTGATGAGAAAGGTCTTAACCCAAATAAAGCAGAGTGGCCGAAGTGCTCATTTCGTCAGAGATAAAAGAAACTAATAATAAAATTATACATATTTGTATAAATGAAAAAATACACAGAGGAAAGTAAACCCCCCTCAAGGAGATACACAAGCATATATTTCTTCTCATTAAAAAAAAAAAATGATAGTGTGTGAAACTCACTGTTACCTACCAGCATATACTTTTATGGCCGACTACTTACTCCGTGATATGGGTGTTCCATACTTCCACTCCACCGATGGACGCTTAGGTTGTTTCTGGTCTTTTACAAAAACACCAGTGTAGCAATAAATGTCCTCACTCATCACCTTTCGGGCCTGCGCGACTCTCTGGTTCCTAGAAGGTGAAAGTGGCTGAGTGAGGACTGCCACTGCTGTTCAGTGATGCGGCTGCTGGAACGGGGGCTGCTTTGGGAGGCTTTCCCAGTCCGGCTTCTGACTGATGAGTGGACACCTGGGCTTTCTCCCAGGACGTCATCTCTGTGCTCAAGTGCACAGTGCGGGGGATCCTCCTGCTTGAGGGGAGAGCTCTGGCGGGGCCATCCATTTGAGATTGTCATCCCACAGTCGAGCTTGTCTGCAAGGACTTCTGCCTCTCCACAGCCCCTTGCCCTGTGAGGTTCTGACATGCTCCCCAAGTTGATCTATAGATTTCACAAAATCCCTATCAAACATCCAGCTGTCTTTTTTCTTTCTTTCTTTCCTTTTTTTCCCCCCAGAAATTGATTAATGGCATAAAATTGAGAGTACATAAAATGACCCACACTTTTATGGTGCGTTGATTTTCAACAAATCGTTTTGAGTCAATAAGATAGTCCACACACGAAAGAATGAAGTTGGAACCCCGCCTCACACCAGATGTGAAATTAAATGAGTCAAATACCCAAATGGAAGATCAAAGCTATGATACTCTTAGAAGACAACATAAGTATAAATCTTTGTGACTTTGGTTTCTTGGATGTGACACCACAATCTCAAGCACACAGGAAAAAGAAAAGAAAAATACAGTGGACTCCACCAAATTTAAAATCTGTGGTCCAGGGGTGCCTGGGTGGCTCAGTCGGTTGAGCGTCCGACTTCAGCTCAGGTCACGATCTCGCGGTCCGTGAGTTCGAGCCCCGCATCAGGCTCTGGGCTGATGGCCCAGAGCCTGGAGCCTGCTTCCGATTCTGTGTCTCCCTCTCTCTCTGCCCCTCCCCCGTTCATGCTCTGTCTCTCTCTGTCTCAAAAATAAATAAATGTTAAACAAATTTTAAAAATAAATAAATAAATAAATAAAATAAAATCTGTGGTCCAGAAGACAATATTAAGAACCGAGGGGAGAAAGTGTTTCAAATTACAAGGTCTGACATGCAAAACTGAGGGCAGGTGGACTTGGAAATCCAGCTCTTGGATGCTGGCGGCAGGCGCCCTCTCCTGGCCGCATGCGGCTCTGGGCCTAGCGCCCTCCCTGGACAAGACTGGGGGTAGGGTTTTCAGGGAGCAGGAATAGAAGGGGTAGAAGGACAGAAGAGGTGGGTTCTGGAGGGAGAGGGGCGGGGAAGGAGGAGAAATCTTCCTGCGGGAGCACTGCACTTTAATAAGCCATCAACACCACCCATATTCAAGCCAGCTTTGGCCACCAAAATGACACGAACTGGGTGGCTTACACAACAGACTTGTATTTCTGACCATCTGAGAGGCTGTGCCAGATCAGGATGCCAGCCTGCTTGGGTTCTGGTGAGGCCTCTTCCTGGCTTATAGGTGGCCAGCTTCTCCCTGTGTCCTCATGTTGCAGAGA